TACAGAAAAGATACAATATTCACTTTACCAAACATCCAGGTTTCTTAGACTTTGTGACTGTTTGTTTGCCTTCTATTCTCTTTCTACATGCTCTATTCATAAATTGTCTCCAGCAAATTATAGCAAAGGTGTCTCTCTTCTCTATTGCCACTTTGCAATTTATACTTAACTGCAGGGTAACAGCAATGGAAGCCATAACTAACAGCGCCAACTCCAGCCTTCTAAATCTGCAACTACAGCTTGGGAAGAATCTTGTATCGGGGTGTTACATGCTAGATTTGATGTGGATGTTGTAGTCTGAAGTGAAAATTATTTGTACAGCTGGAATATAACATTTGCATAAGTTACAATTAAAAGGGAAAATATAATTACAAATTTTCAACTTAATTTGAATGGTTTGTAAAATGCTCATTTGGCATAGGCAACAGCTTGCAGGCAAACAGAACACAGTCTCAGAGCTGCGGCCCTTTGTCTGAGTAGCAGTAGTGAACTCATTCTGAAGGGTTTGCTTTAGCCCCTGAATCCCGACATAACCAGTAGTGAGAACCTAAGGTACAAGGCACTGTTTGTTTTCAAAACAGGATTGCAACATACCCAGCAATTCACAAATATTTGCATCTTTTAATTGTTTCTAAAACAGAAGTGGCAAGTGGCATCGAACAGGAGTGTTATTTCTCTTGTGGACTGAATGAGCAGTGGAATTTTAACTAGTTTCATTTCCTTTCAGCTCTCAGATCTGAAATCTGTGGTCACATCTCCTGTACAATGTGTTCTTCATATCACAGTCTCTTTAATGGCCCCAGTTTCTGATTTTTCCCCCTCCTTAATTACATGTCTTTTTCTTATAGCTACTTCATGCTGAAGGCATGTCATTCTTCCCAGACGGAGGCTCGGCTAGGTGTCCGTGCACTGAGTCCGTTTGTTCGTTTGTTTTCAGGGTTTCTTTCTAAGAAGCAAAGGAATCCTTTCATTATCCTCAAACGTGAGAATCAAAATTTTCATAAAATACTTTGTACAGCATGTGTACTTGAAACCCTGCATCCCCAAGTCACGATAACCGTGATTATTATGTAACATGCATTGTGTCACATCAATTGTTTTGAAAAAAAGAGAGAAAAAGGAGAAAATTATTCCATTCAGTCTTTCTCAGAAAAAAAATGCATCCAAAAAGACATATGAACAGGAAAAATTGCTGTTATTATGAATTACACAATTAACTATGCCTTTCTATGTTTTTGATCCTTCTTTTCATAGCAATCTTCCAAATAATGAGACACCAGAACATACTCTTGGAAAAAAACAAGTTATAAAAACCCATCTTTGTTCTATTTGCCCTGGAATCTGAAAAAGAAATTCTATGGCAAGAGGCAAATATAAAGTAATAACACAACCTTATTTTATCTTTTTCCTGAGAAACCACAAAGGCGCTTGGTTGATTCAGAGTATTGTTAAGTAGCATGATTTTTTTTAAATCACAGAAACCCTGTCTATTTATGGAATAACAACTACAGGACAATGAGAGGACCACCACACCACCTTCAGGACAATGCGCTGCGACTTGGAATGACTGGCTGAAACTAACAAGGGAAATTACCTAAACGATGCTCTGGTGCAGAGTCATCTTCTGTGCCCCAGACTTGGAATAATTTTATCACACCAAAGTAGGGTACAAACTGAAAAATACATATGCATATATATATTTTATTTATGTTGATCACACATGTATTTTATTTATACTGTAAAAACGCCAGGATTTTAATAAATTGTATACTGGGACCTATAGGCTCCTAGCAGTCTCCTAGTCCGACAACTTTCCCATTTCTTTTCTACTCGGTGCATAAACCCTAAGTTTATACTCAAAGTCATAAGCCAGAAGCAGACTATTTACTATAATGAATGATATTTCCCAAATGGTAGAACATTTACTGCTGGGGGGATAATTTTAGTTGCCACATATCCAAATATTTTCATTATTATTTTTTCTTAAGTATAACATCACATCATACTCTTGATTTCACCAATTTTATTACTTAGAATTGCTCCCTTTTAAACTGATTTAAAATCAATTTAAATGTCTGGTGTCTGGGTGGCTCAGTTGGTTAAGCATCGAACTTCACCTCAAATCATAATTTGGCAGTTCATGAGTTCGAGCCGCACCTCACGTTCTTTGCTGACACTCAGAGCTTGGAGCCTGCTTTAGATTCTCTGTCTCCTCTTTCCATCCCGCCCAGCTTGCACTCGCTCTCTCTCTCTCTCTCTCAAAGATAAATGAACATTTAAAAAATTAAATTGACTTAAAGAAAAATGTTGAGAAAAATATCACAGATGGTATGCATCACAGCAAAGTCATAAAAGAGTTATAGAAATGACTTATGTTAAAGAGACAGTATCCTAGAAAATCACTTCTCTATTAGGGCTGAGTTCCTAATTTAAAAAAATTATTTTTTAATGTTTATTTATTTTTGTGAAAGAGAAAGACAGAGCACGAGCAGGGGAGGGGCAGAGAGAGAGGGAGACACAGAATCCAAAGCAGGCTCCAGGCTCTGAGCTATGAGCACAGAGCCTGATGTGGGACTCGAACTCACAGACCTCTAGATTGTGACCTGAGCTTCAGTTGGACTCAAACAACTGAGCCACCCAGGCACCCTGAAGCTTTAATTTTTTTTTAACAAAAAGGGCATTTCTCAAAAAATTTTCAAGGAAAATGAAAATCTCAAGAAAGAATAAACTATTTTAATTTTAATTTTTCTCCTGGATTCATGGAAAACACTTCTCAAAAAGAGTAAAAGCACTACAGCATTGTGATTTCCCTTGAACGCAGAGAGTAGATTGGGAGCAAACACTCTCAGGAAGATTCAGAAATTTTTCCAGAAGGCACTTCACAAGAAGCCAAGAGAAGCAGGGACAAAGAACCTTGGCCAAGTTGTAAACAATGTACAGGTTGTTCTTAGTAGCTCAGCAGGTCCCATCAGGGCAGGACTGGGGTGATACTGACCATGAGGTGAGGGCCACCCAGAAAGGAGACTCTGGATGGAGTCCCAGAGGTGGAAGCAAATGAAGGTTCCTGAATAGACAGACCGGCCATCCTCTTCTCCGCATGCTCCATGCCACTCCACATCTTATGCTTTCCGGCCATCCTCCTCTCTGCCCTTCTTCCCTCTTCCTGTCTTTCATCAACTGAAATGACAATAGGGGCATAGAAATCTAGTTTTTCATTGCTTACTGTCTTTCTATAAAGTTTTTCATTTTTTCTTCTGAATTTTAAATGTAGATAATTTTAAAGTTTTATATTTCCAGTTATCCAAAAAGGTTAGAATTAGTCTAAAAATAGCCCTAAGTTGTTTTTCACTTATATATGGTTCTAGGATATATATTTTGTACGATTCAGTGCCCCTCCCACCCCTAACACTGAAAACAGAGCAATAATTAGTGCTGAAGCAAATGGACCCTTTTCCTCCTCTTGGTGGGAAGAGTATACATGTAATACAAGAATAATTAATGGATTGGAAGAAGACAAAGACCTTCAGAGGGATGCTTCTGAGAACGATTGTATTTTGGTGTTCTTTGTAGTAATTTGAAGAAGTCATGACATTTCAAATGGTAATCAAGGGAAATCTAGGGTAATTCACTATGAAGAGAAAATAGATCATTCTTAAAATGTTTCTTTACACCCTTTTCCATATGAGCTATGCCTCCTAGAATAAATGTTAGAATGAATGGATGGAAGAGAGCTGGGATTTTCATGTCAAATTCTTCACAGCTCTGAAGCAGTTGGAGGCTGGGGTGAGGAGCTATAGGGTAAGGAGCAAGAGACATTATTTGACAAGCTCTCAGGACTGCACTACCCCTCTGACCACTGTTAACTCCACTGTTACCTGCTTGATTGATGGGAATCACTGAAGATTCCATTTTTCCCCAATAACAGTGATACATGTTTTTAAAATTTGGAAAATCATGGGAATAGAAAAATTCATGTTCCTGGGTTGACCCTGGAAAAACAGAATCAATTTTATAAGGATGGTGAATGTTTCTTCAGACCGATCATTTCTTTTTTTTTTTTTTTAAATGTTTTATTTATTTCTAGGAGAGAGAGAGAGAGACACAGCGTGAGCAGGGGAGGGTCAGAGTGAGAGGGAGTCACAGACTGAAACAGGCTCCAGGCTCCGAGCTGGCAGTCAGCACAGAGCCCGACGCGGGGCTCGAACCCACGAACCGTGAGATCATGACCTAAGTGAAAGTCGGACGCTTAACCGACTAAGCCACCCAGGCGCCCCAGACCGATCATTTCTTTTTAATTCCTTGGAAGGCTCATTAAGTTATATCCTGCTCCTCTGTGACCTTAGAAATAATTTTCCACTCTCCATACCCCCTGCTCCTTGTAGGGTGGAAGGGACACACAGAGGAGACTGACTAGGTTATTCTCCCTACAGTTTTATGTAAATTTGCCAAAGAAATAAGATCCCTATTCTGACAGGAGTCAGGCAAGTCTAAATATTTCTTACAGACAGAGCTGACAAAATTCAAAAGTAGTCTGGGTACAAGAGACTCATTAATTTCAAATGGGCGTTTGATTCCCAAAGGGAAGACAAACTTCATCAGTTGGAGCGTTGTGATGTCACAGAGAAACTTCATTAGTGCACCGCTTAGAAGGGAGTCATGAGAGTAAGTAAAACGAAATGTAAATAACTGCCTAATTAGGTGTCCATGAATAACTGAAGAGCCTCCAAAGTCATTAGAGATGACGGTACATGGCAGGCAGCTTCTTAGACTAAGAATTAGTGCTTTCATAACCTTCACAGAGGGAAGGAGGCTGGAAGATTCCGCAAAGGTCTCCAGAAGACCGGTTAACCTGGACGAAGCCACTCAAGACAATCAGGTGTGACATCATTCACATGGTTGAAGTCCTCTGGAGCAGCAGTTCTAGAACTTCTTGGGGCCATTCTAGTAGAATAGAATACTCAGAAATCACCCCCATTCCCACTGAGCACGGGGTGGGAACAGGCACAGTGAGAGGAAACTAACACAAGGAATGAGCAAAATGGAACTGATTTTGATAAAGGGCATTGTAAGTATTCAGGTCACATTAGAACCATGAAGATACGGTCTTGTCTCAATCAATATTATAAAAGTTAATCCACAGACCAAGCAGACATCAAGTAGGCTTTAAACCATAAATTGAAACCTTCCACTCCACAGGAACATTAGAGAGCTCTTTTCTCTAGCACTCAGGTGTTAAAGCTATTGCTACTTCTCCTGTCTTTCCACCCCGTCCTTGCCTACAAAATAATGTCCAAATTTCTTAGCATGCATTAAAGGCCTTCAAGATCTACCCCATTCTCCTTTTCCCAGCTTACCTCTCATTGTGTCTTAGCCTGTTCCCTTATACATTATGAGGTCTGTGCTAAGGCTAGTTATACCCTTTTATCCACCGTCTCTGAATGGCAAAATCATATTCATCTTTCAGAATCCAGTTCAAATTACATTTCCTTCCCTGAGAGTTTGTGATTTCTCCTTTGTGTGTTACAAACATAATTCAAGCATCTACTTTAGCACCTTATTTGAACAAGGGTATTGAGAGAGCAGTTCTCCCTTGGCCTATGGTTAGATATATCTGCATGAATCTAGAAAACAATGGTTTGCACACAGGAATTGCGCACATGGGGCCCTAAGAGGGCTAACTGAATAGGTAGTAAGGCCCAGGATGACAAGGGAAGGGAGAATTTGGTACAGTGTGGTGTTGGTCTCCTGCATCTGTCCCCAGTCTACCCCATGGGCATATGCCTAGGTCACAGAGACTGGGAGTGAGAGTGTGAATTCCAAAGCTCAGTGTCTGGATTCAAATTTCAGTTGTACATACTAGTTGCCTTGAGTGAGTCAGTTAACCTCTCTAGCTTCAGCGGAGATGGTAATAATAGCACTCCTGCCTCATGGTTCTGTCATGAGAATTATACAAGTTAATGAATACAAAGCTCCCCAACAGTGCTTGTCACACAATCAGCATCATATAATAAGCACCAGCTATTATACTTAGGAAGAGAGATGACAGTTCAGTAAAAATCTGAAGTCTATAAGGCCTTAGGGCATATGCAGCACTAACTTGGAACCACTAAGGCGAAAGTAAACAAAAAATAGGTGTTCTTTCCAATTCCACCATTGGCCAGAAGCAGCATGGTGCTTTGAATTGGTAGCATCTATTGGGACTAGGAATAGAGGGCTCCCGTGTTTGACAGGGGCAGCTGTGTTCAGAGCGGTCGATTCTCGACAGAGACAGAAGCAGTGTCCATCAGGAATGATGGCCATCACTGTGTGGTCTTTGTGGTACCCAGAGCTGATGCTGCAAGACATCCAAGGTGTTCACTGAGTGCAGAGCAATGTAAGTGGTAGAGTAACTGGGTTCAAGTGAAGCCACCCACTGGACACTTGTCAACCAAGACAGCGATGGCAGCATAAGAGGTGTCAATACTCCTTGGACACCATGGGGTGAGACATCAGACTTACCCACATGGAAATATTTCCTGGGTCAACCAAAAATACTTGGGAGGAGGGCTTTTGCCAGGGTGCAGAGATCCTCTAGGGTCCAATGTGATCAATTTCTCAAATTATCATTGGTGTGGCTTTATTTTTACAGAAAGGGAATACTGAGACATCATTAACAGCACAAGCTTTGGTTTCAGACAGGCTTGTACTTCAACTCAAAGTATTTACTAAGCATCTATTCTATGCCTCAGGCTCTGTTCTAGCCGGTGGAAATATCACAGTGAACAAGGCAAATAGGATTCCTCCTCACAAAGAGCTACCTTAGAGAGGGGACACCGACAAAAATCAAGTTAAGAAAACAAATTAATGGGATCTTGCGTGTTTAAGACCTACGAAGGCAATAAAATAGATGATATGGTGTACAGATGGGGTGGAGAGAGCTGCTGACATATGGCAGCCAGGTAAAGTCTCTCCATCCAGTCTTTCCTGGCTAGTGAGGTCTAATAGCCAGGAAGAGGCAGCTCTGGGAAGAACTGCGGACAGAGTGTGGGGCCTTAAGTTAGGGAGACTTGGCATATTTGAGGAACATAAAGAAGGATAGGTAAGTCCAGGGGCACCTGGGTGGCTCAGTCAGTTAAGCGTCTGACTTCAGCTCAGGTCATGATCTCACTGCTCTTACGTTTGAGCCCCAGATGGGGCTCAGTGCTGACAGCTCAGAGCCTGGAGTCTGTTTCAGATTCTGTGTGTGTCTCTCTCTCTGTCCCTCACCTGCTCACGCTCTCTCTCTCTCTCTCAAAAATTAATAAACATTAAAAATTTTTTTAAAAAAAGGAGAGTAAGTCCAAAACAAGGGTCAGCAAACTATGGTGTGGAGGCCAAACCCAGCCTGCTACCTGTTTATGTAAATAAAGTTTTAGGGGCAGCTGGGTGGCTTAGTCGGTTAAGCGTCCGACTTTCGCTTAGGTCATGATCTTGCAGTTCGTGGGTTCGAGCCCCGCGTCGGGCTCTGTGCTGACTGCCAGCTCGGAGCCTGGAGCCTGTTTCAGTCTGTGACTCCCTCTCTCTCTGACCCTCCCCTGCTCACGCTGCCTCTCTCTCTCTCTCCTAGAAATAAATAAAAATATTTAAAAAAATTAAAAAAAAAAGTTTTATTAGAACATAGCCACACTCATTATTCATCTATAGCTGCTTTTGTGCTCTAATAGCAGAGTTGAATAGTTGCCACAGAGGCTGAATGGCCTGCAAAACCTATAATATTTACTATCTGGCCCTTTACACAAAGTGTGCCAATCTCTGGACTAAAACCTAGAGGACAAGCAGGGTGAAAGCGGTAGGAACTGAAGGTTAAGGGGTGCCGAGGGGCAGCAAACTGCCGGGCAGAGAAGTCAGCTTACAGTCCACATGTGATGGGAAGCCCCTAGAAGGGTGCAAGCAAGAGAGATGCGTTATCTGATTCACGTTCTCCACTCTGGGAGCTGCATGGAGCAGGACTGCAGGGGCAAAGTGGCAGCAGGGAAGCCAGTTATGAGGAGGCTCTCCCTGCAGGTGGGGACAAGTAGTCAAGGTGTATTAGCTCAGGTATAACAGGCATGAGAATCCCAACGTGGCTGTGTAACAGCACAAAAGCTATTCCAACGCTTTCAGCCTCAGTTTTCTTGTCAGTAAAACCCTCAGACCACTACTGTGTGAGTTAAATTACAAACGCACCTGAGGCATCTGTCAAAAAGTAAGTGTTCAGTTAGATATTGGCCGTTATCGTTCTGTTGTTGAGTCATTGTTGTTGACTGGTGAGGCCCATGGAGGACCGGGTCCCAGCGTGGACGTCACCGTGCTGGGTAGTGGCACACTTTTCTCCCTGATTAGACTGGTGAGTCCCCTGGAAACAAGGAAGTTCTTATTCGTCTTTATGTCTCCCAAACTGTGCCTGGCACGTGGTAGATGTTTAATAAATGTTTACTGATTAAACTATCAGGGTGTTTTAGTTTTGTTTTTCTTTTTTAAGGAAAGGTATTCATTCTGCCATTTTCACCAGATGTGTTTTGTTTTCCAGGTTGATATGGTATGTTTTGATGACACAGACCATTCTGAAGATACAGAGATAGTTGTCTCTAAGGAGAGCTAGTACCTAGCACCCTCTCTGATGCAAAGGGGGTACTGCTCCCCATCAACCTCTACCTTGACAAAATAGGTCAATGCTTGTAATTATACATGAAATCTGGACTAAAAAGTCACTATCCACAGGAAATTCACACATATCAGACACATCTATGTATCAAAAAATCTCAGCCACAAAGCAGACCCAACAAGAGTCAAAAAACATTGTTCTAAGTGTCAGGTTGTTTTTAGACTTTTGCTTCAAACCAGTTGGACACTGTGATGCCTTGTCCAGACATGTCAAAGAAGCCCCTATTTTATATCATTACCTCATTGCTTTTATTGATTCATTATTCTGCCTAAAAACTAAAAGGATCTCTCCTCAAATTGAAATTTCAGAATTTTTTGTCAACTTTCTTATTCTCTGACACACCACGGACCAAGATAGACCGGAAGGGAAATCTACCCCTCACAAGGAGGTAAGTTTTCTCATCAGAAAATGATCCATACTGTCTAAACAGCTGTTGCAAGTGAAATTAAGTATGACATATTTGCAAATGGAATATGATATCCATAAAGTAGGTGCATACTTCGTGACATTTTTATTTTTCAAAAAAGAGGTTTTAATGCCACAAGGGTTGTACAATACAGAATTACAAAAGCCTGGAAGGGCCAACTCAAGTGACATGTTACTATGTATACATCACCTGTATATTCACAGTAGCTATATATGTCCTTCCTACACATTTATTGCTCTATCAGAAACATTAGTTAGAATTTCTTTAAAATCAAAGACTGAGAAAATATTTCCATAGTGGTCACCAAATCTTGTAGTCCTATGCAAACTTAGTAATTTAGCCGACAAACTCCAAAAGTATAGGAAACTTAAAAGAGGAAAAAGATTTAAAACAACAAAATATTAAAGATGAGAATCCCCTACAATAGTGAAGGAAAAGGTGGAAATCCTTGAAACATCAGTGAGCAGCCATGAAGAGGGAGTTGTTTTTTTGTTTTTTTTTTTTTAACATGAAGGCTGGCATCTCACAAATAACGTATGTTCCATATTATGTGGCAGTTGCTATAGTAACAACCTTTATTTTCTGAAACAGTAAACAGATGTGTACAACATACTAACTTGCTGGTTATAAATTACAGCTTTTCCCATAGTTCAATAACTTAAGAATTCTACATTTTTGAAATCTCAGAAGTTCTGTTGTTATTAAATTTCTTTTATGAGATAATTTTCCTTGTACTTTCAAAATGAGAGAGAGCGTTTTGAAACCGGCCAAGAGAAAGGAGGGATGAGAAAATGGGGTACATCAGAGAGTAGCAACAGACTGGGGACTGTTTCCTATGGAGTCTGGATGAAACCCACTGAAATGAGAACATTATTTTAATGAATTAGGCATCATGTACAATAGTGATGGGAAAGAAGTTGCTAGCAAAATGATGTTACAAATAAAGTTATGAATTGATTTTTTATTACAAAGTGCCATATTTACAGTTTTAAAATAAATGGAGATTATTTCTTAGAAATGTCACAAACATTAATATAATTTTACAAGCTACAACAGTGTGGGGGAGTGAATTAGCCCAGTTACTTGACGTTAAATGAAGTTTTTTTTATCTTAAAAAGGCCTGAGTCTGGGAAAAAATGTATATTCCTATATTTGATAAGAGATTAGCATCCCTTTGTCAGGTTACAAAACAGAAGACAGATTTTTACTGATTGGGATATTTTTCTTTTCATATTTTAATCTTAATCAACAAATATTTATCAGGCACCTTGTACATGCAGGGAGCTGTCTGTGCCTAGATGTGTACAGATATGTGTAGAAGCATAAATTATAGAAGAGTTGAGTTCTGTAGATGGCTCTTTTCTAATTCTGAAAATTTACATATGTTTTCCATGTGCTGGATCTGAACATTTTCTTTAATAGACAGTTCACACTGTAGATTTTTAAACCTTGTCAGAAAGAATGATCTCTGTAACATTTGTCAGGCTAAAGTTTATTACCTGGGAAATACCTACTTCAAATATGTTTGAAAATAAGGTTATGTAGTTAACATTTACAGTTAAAAGCCAACTTTCTAAAATATATAGATATGTATCTATATCTATATATTTCTAGATATAAGGAAGGGTGCGAGGATCCTCATATAGAGAGTAAAAAGGACCCCCTGATTGAGAAAGTCCAGGCATAACAATGCTAATAAATTTATCTAACAAACACCAAACACTCATAAATGCTATTTCAAGTGACAGTACAGTAATATTCAAATTAAAAACTGTCTTATCGCAGCAATGACAGGATGAGAAACATTGAATACTGTGCAGATAAGAACAAACCATTTTGAAAAGCTTGCACCATTAAGTGGCTGTTAAAATTTTTGCTAATGCTTTCCACACACACACTCCTTTCTGTATCATTCTGAGATATATTAAAAACAGGACCATGACTAATCCATTCAAGTCCTTACATTCTCAGAGAGAAAGTGAGAGAGGGGAAGAGTTATCACCTAATGAGGGCTTAGAGGCTAGAACTCGGAACCCAAAAGAAAAAGAGTACTTCACTGTTAGATGCATTTTAAAAGTATTACTTAAATTACATTTAAGTCATCAGATAATTATGAACTTTCTTCTCTTTTATATTTATATGGCATATTTATTGAATTGCACAGTATGCTTTTACAATAAAGTGCTTTTTACGTTGCCGCCTTTGTTCATCCAAAATAAAACTGACAGTTATCCTTTTATAAGCTATTCCGAGAACATTTTCTCTTCTTTGAAGCTGATTGATGCACTACTTTAAATGTTCCTGCAAATATCTTTTCAATTCAAGTTTTTGCATAATGTAATAAGAAGATAAAAGAATTCTATACTTCAACGAGAGACATTACAAAGCAAGTAGAGACATTATCAAGGGCATTAACATGCTCCTAATAGCAATAAAACCTTTTAACTGTCTGATGTAGAACATGCTCCCACCAAACCACCACATATTATGGTAATTGGCTCCAATTTCTGAATCTTACATTGTAAAGTTACAAAGAGTTAGGTGGAACTGAAAAACAAATCCAGAATGCTCATCTTGTTAGCATTCCCGTTCTGAAACGTTTGCTTGCTACCTTGAAGGAGAACTGGTCTGGTGTGTGGAGCTGTTCTTTCCTGTGCTATCATAGTTTTGCATCCTGTCTCATTGTCATTCCTACCGACTCTGATATAAATACGTATTTTTCCCCAAATAACCCTTTTCTAACTCCAAAACATCATAGTAACATAAATAGCATTTTTCTCGAAATTTCAGTGTAACAAATGGGTTCTCTGTTCATGCCTGTGTCACATCTCATTCACTTTATGTGTTCTTTCATCACAGGAAGATACAATAGGGGAAATATTCCACGAGGATGCTTTGATTTTTCTTTACGACACGCCATTAAATTACGTGAGTAGCCTTTCCACCATGGTGGAGAGGAAATTTCAAACTAAAGTTGAGCCCAGTTTCTGTTCAATTAAATAGCCGAGAAAAAAAAATAGTTCTTGGCTTTATTCTTCTTAGATGGGAAGCAGGGCGGTGGGGAATTGACACAAGTCGGTCCTTGGTGATTAACCTGCAGTTTATGGTTGTGTTTCCCGGTGACGTGCCCATCACGCAGGAAGCTTCTCGGAGGCTGTGGAGAGCAGCCTGTCTGCTTTGAGAAGTGCAGATCTATCAGGATCCAGAATCAGGTTCTGAAAAAGCTGTCATTTCATGTCTCTAAAACAGCCTCTGATTTAATGTACAAGATGTCAAGAAGTAAAGGACAATAAAATAAAAGCCAAAAAGGAGAACTATTTCAATTAAGAAGCATTTCTATACCAATTCTTGGAAATCACATAAAATAAAAACTGTCAGACTCAATCTGTGTTTAAAAGGTTGATTTTTGTGGCACTTACATAGAAACTACAAGACAGGGAAAAAATACAAATTATTAACAGAGCAATCGAACCTTAAAAAATTCCTTTCTCGCTACATATATATTTGGTTATTAAATTTTCCTAAGGGACCTAGGGAAAGCATTTGTATAGCAGGTACTAGGAGTTGGGAGAGAGAAGGAAAGCAATAAACCCTCATACAGAAAAAAGTAACAAATGTAAGCTGCAGTCCTGTAAGAAGAAGGAGTTTTGTGCATTTCCAAGAATTTAATATTTTGATTGCTGATAATTAGAACTCTCATATAAGACTTTAGGAATTTACCTTTTATTGCCATGATTTTCCAATGCTGTTTGAATGTCCTTCTCAGAGAAAGATAAATATTTCTTCAAGGACTGCCCTATCACCCCAGTAATCAAATATCTTAAAGGTGAACTGAGAAAAAAAAAATCTATGAAATTTGAGGCAACCTTTTAGCTAAGAGTATAATAATAATAAATAAAGAGATAAACATTGGCAAAAGAAATAAAATAAAATTCTTCCTATGGAAGACACAATTTTTATTATCATTTCTTTTTAACAATATGCTATTTAAGAAACATATGTTATAACTCACACCTATTCCTGTCCTTAGAATTTTTATGATGCTATTTTCTATTAAGAGAGAGATTGGGCAGTGAAAGAAGGGGTGAATTTACTTGCTGTCCTCCATTGATTTGTACATTTCAGGGATATGTTCCTTTCCATGGTCTATTTCTGGTTTCTTTTATTGAAAAAAAATCAAGTTTCTCTGAAGGGAATACTTTACAGAAGAAAATTCACTCCCTTATCATCAAATCAAGAACTTTTCGTAAAGTAACTCTACCACAAGCAGTAAGAGCAGCCTAAGAACTGCCTCCAATCACAAGAAGAATAACAAAATCAGTTCACTCGTGATTTCCTTAATATACTTAAAAGAGATTACAATCCCACTGATGCCTCTAAAAATAAAAATGAGGAAAGGGCAACTTTATTGATTCCCTGCAAACCAACGAACGTGTAACTTATTGATAATACTAAACACCGTCTAAGCCTTTAGTGATTTCCAACCAAAAGTCTGCCTCTGAATGAAGGTTTAAATCATTGTATTAATATATTAAGGGGGGAAATTATCATGGGAGACACTTGGAAATTAATTAAAAACCCTGCACTCAGTTTGTTTGTGAGAGGAGATAAATATCACACATGGGAAATGATGCCTGACAACCGCCATAGTTTTCAGATCCAAAATTAGACCCTGACAGCTACGTCTTTGTATGACTCTCCTTGGGGTATAATATGCAGAGATATAGAATGGGAAGATTTCTGATAGAAGTATTTATTACTGACACTTCCGAAACACTCCACGTGTGGCATCAGCAAAGCATGCTCCACCTTAGACGGAAATGTCAGGTTTTCTTTCAAGATTTTTCTTCTATTCCTCTTCCCCACTTCCCATCCCTCCCTCCCCATCCACCACCACCCCTCGTCTTCTCCAAAATATGATTTTTTTTAGAAGTTCAACAGCAGCCCCTGGTGGAACTCAGCAGTTGTTTCAGCCTGAGCACAGTTGTTGAAGAAACTCCATCCCTGCTGTCAATAAACAGAAAAGTATGTCCATGTGCCTATCACCACACCTGCATGCTGTTCCTACAGGTCAGAGATTAGGATACAACCCCAAGTGTACAAAAGCTGTGCTTTGTGATGGTAATTGTAGCCAATTGCAGTAGCTGGAGTTTTGAAAAAAAAATATATGTAACAAACAATAAACATCTGTCTCAAATGTCACATTCATTTTATGCATCAAGACCAATAATTAACTGCTCGTGAATAATGCTTACCACAGAGTGCCTCGAAACGAGGAGATCCTCACACATGAGCCAGCGATCACCATTTTGTCTGGCTTATGTTGTGACAGAATCAGCTTTGTCACTTAGCAGAATGAGCTATACAAAATGACAATTCTATGCAAAGAAGGGATTTCTCTAGGTCACAGCTCCAAAAGTACCACAGAATGCCACTATCTAGCCTCCTCAAAGTGGCAAGCTAGACTCAGAAGGAAGCCCACCCAAATGCTCTTCAGAGAGATCATGACCATTCCTTTTTCTGCTTAGTTGGCAGCTACAGATTATCATTTGGGGAGGAGGAGGAGATGGGAACATCTCTGGGGACAAAGATGGTCCTTTGCATTAGGCAGGGTAAGTCTGTGCGCTTCATAAAGGTGCCTGGTAAAGGTGCTCAAATAATCCAGCTTCCCTTCCTAGGGGGCCATCTGCCTAGATGACAGTCACCTTTGTCTTAACACAAAGTCATGGTTCTGTTGCTGAGCCCTATACCTTTGGGGCTGCAGCACTATAGAGAAGTTGCCTTTCCCTCGTTCACACAATGGTGTGAGCCATATAGGTTAGAGATGGCCTTGGTCCTATACAAGGAAAGAGAATTCTATACTGACGAAGTACGCTTTCCTGAGTCTCAAGTGTAGCGGGGTTGGGGGATATGTTTGGCATTCACCTCCACGAGGCTCATGTTAGGAAAAAGGAACCATTGACGATTTGCTCAAAATACCCAAAGGTTTACTTGAGTAAATTTATTCACCATCTCTCACTTGTGTGTCTTGACTTTTCACTTCTCACATGATGCAGTTTATTAAAAGGAAAAGCAAAGATAACTTCGAAAGCTTTAAATAGCTTTATGATAAATACTAGAATAATATTTCTATTAAAAAGTGGTTTTTAAATTTTGAAAGTATTATACTTTACATTAGCCCTTCCCTTGCCCCTGAGGTCGCTTACATCTCTTGATTAATCTCATGTGAAACCAAATCAGTGAGCTGATAGGTTGAGACCAGAGATAATTCCATGGCAGGCTGTTTACTGAGAACCCCATGGGTGCTGTATTTGACACTGGGGAATAAGACATAGAAAAAGGAATAATACTGCTCTCCAATGGGTTACAATCTAGTAGAGGAACTATATCTATCTGGATAATTTTAATATAACGTGGTAGCAGCATGCAGAGTCTTAACAGACAAAGTGGGATCTTTAGCTTGCTTTCTATAGGGATGACACTTACACAAAATCTTAAAGATTATAAATGAACTACAGAAAAGAGAGGTAGACACCAAGACAGGAGGAGAATTACTAGGACCCAAGGGTGAGGGTGTAAAATTACACAATAGATCTAAAGAACTTCGGGCAGTTTGATACCAAATGCAAAATGGTCAATAGGAATTCAACGTGGGGACATGGGTAAGGTCAGTCATGAAGGGCCCGCCTGCCCTCCAAAGGGGTTTGAGAGTGTCCTTTAGGCCAGGGAAAGTAATGAAAAGACTTATTAAGGAGTTTCACAAAAGAGAGTGGACTGAGACTGGAGGTTGGAAGACTGGTCAGGGCTTTATACGACTGTCCAAGAGAAAGAGGACAGAGACCTGAATCGTGCCGGTAGTAACAGGGTAGGAGAATAAACGGTAGGTTTCAGAAATAGTCACAGGTGAAAACCGAGAGCAGTTAGTGACTTAGCAGATACCGGTACCGAGGGGGCCGTCTTAGATAACTTCCAGGGTCTAGGTGTAAGAGACACAGTAGATTGTGATACTAGCAACTGGCTTAGAGACCACAGGGGCCAGAATAGGTTTGAGGTGAGAAGATGATACTCTAAAGTAGTACTTATCAAAATATGTCTTCAAGTCCCCTCCATTGACCTCCAGACAGCTGCTTATAACACTAGTATTAACACTGCCCACAAATGTCATTGCCAGAGAGGACCTCACAGATGAAGTCCAATTGCTTTCAAACTGTGTGCTGTGGGGATGACAGGGGAGGTAGAGCCGCAGGGCTACAGTCTGCCTTTCCTGATTCAACCCAAGAGAGTCTGCTCATCCTAGTATATATATGAGAATTCTTCAGAAGATTTAGTTTGAAAAAGGAAAACCACAGTTTGGAAACCACTTCCTTTCTCACAGAGGAAACTGAGGCCCACAGAGGTTAAAATAATTTGTCTTCAGACACAAGTTTGTAGCAGAGGCTGAGCTAGACCTCTGGCACCTAGTTCACCCATGCCAATCCTGCTATGCTATCGTTTCCTGCATGCATGAAAGAATTGTTTACTTTTGCTAGGCCTTAGAAAATGGGCAGAAACCTCCTCATCTCCACCACACAGTGAGCAGTTTCCTTAGGTTTATTCTCTCGATAAACGTTTATTAAGCATCTCCTGCATGCCAAGACCTCTTTTACCGAGACCAGCTGAGCGTTTCTGTTTAGACCCCCAGCTGTAGTTGCTGATTCTTTGGTAGAGCTTATTCTAAGGATGCACCATTAATATTCTATCATGACTGGATGACTAAGATCCAAGTATAGGGATACAGGGGGCTGACTATATTAGTCCCAAGTAAACAGTATTATTATCAAAGGCATGAGTTTCTTTGGATATACAGTGAAGTATACTTCACTGGAGGATATAGCTAATTTATATTTTTAATCTAATTTTTGGAAATACATTTTTTAAAAA